CCGATGACTCTAGAAGTGTTAACAATGTTCTTCTGCTCACCATCATGAACCCGATCTACCCCATCACCTCGGTAAATGCAAATCTTTGGACTTCTGCTTGTCTGTTTTGCTTGAATTGCCGAGCTTCATCAAGTTTGTGACATGTTTTCCATTTGGGGAGAAAAGCAATGCCAGGGATTATTGTTGTTAAAATGTCAGCACTCTTAAGCACATGTGTCCACGACACTGCTCACGATCACAGCTGCTAACTCCCTCTAACAGGTTAAAGGGAGACTCTGTTGTTTGTTTTGCAGCTGGCGGTGAATTTAATTTGTATATACCTCATAAGTCTTTAGTCCTGGTTAACCCCAGCAGCAGCCCTGTACTGTTCTTGTCAGGTAACGTGGATCAACTATTGTCATAAAAGTCTATATTGGCAACCTTTTTATTAAAAGCAAAGTCGGTGTAGACTTTTTCTTTATGCCTCTGTTAGGTTTGGCTGTTGAACGGAGAACACATTTGTTTGTCGATCAGTTTTTTAACCTTTTACTTGTTAACAGGATGTCCTCTACACCATCTGCAACAACTGTGGGCCTGTCCAGAGAATCGTCATCTTCAGGAAGAACGGTGTCCAGGCCATGGTTGAATATCCTTTTGATTGGTGCTTTCTGACAGGGGCACAAACAGATTTTTGACTACTAGTTTGCCAAAAATGTACAGACGAAATAAGCTGGCACGTCTGTATTTCCTGCTACACACAAATGAACAGCTTTATAACAGGAACTTGTACGACGAATACCAACATTTCTACTGGTGACATATTTTAAACTTCTATAGTGTTGACAATCTTAGTAGTTATTTTATTCTTAGATGTTGTGGCTGTTAGTAATCTGTATTATAATTTTCATCAAAGCTGATACTGGCTGGTCTTGTCCTTAACTCTTTCATTACATTCGACTCAGTGCAAAGTGCACAGCGGGCCAAAGCTTCTCTCAACGGAGCTGATATTTACTCGGGCTGCTGCACGCTGAAGATCGAGTATGCCAAGGTACGCTGCAGAACACAAAGCATGGCCATTGTTCATTAACAAACAACGTAAACAACAGAAGGGTGTACTGCGGAGCACGCTGTGTGTCAGCCAGGCTTGCTGAGCCTTAGGTGGCTCTCTTAAACTTCCTATATCGCCATTGCAACTTAAGCTGCAAACCTAACCTGCTCCAAACTAGGTTTTATTTCAGTTAAAAAGCACCGTCCACTAATGAGTTCCTTTGACAAGAGCCCCACTTTACAGTGGAACTTAGGATTTTGGAACCTCCCCTCGATTCTATTGGCTATAACGGTTAAAAAGAGATGTCAATCATCAAAATCGACTGAGGGGGTCTGAGATATGACAAATCCACCCAAATGACCCCAGACGTGTTTTGTTGTTGTTGCTAAACCTCTCTAGAAAGGTTGTTTTGCATCAATCTTGATACACGGTACATATTATGTTGTAGTTTGGATTCCTAAAGCTTTTAGTCTACCATCCCATCATTCAAGGGTGGTTTTCACTATAAGTAATTAGTTTTTTTCCAGTTATCTTTAAAATCCCTGCAGTAATTCTCTGTTTACTGTTTTCTGAGGTACATGGGTACTGTAGTATACAGAGATGTTGGCCATACCAAACTGAAAAACACGATTTCTCAGAAACACAGTTTGAATAATTTAATATGATGGCCATAATACAAACCTAGGACTGCTGAATTATCCATGAGACTATTGTGTTTCTATGTCGAGGAACACCGAGCAGAATCAGAAAATACAACTTTGAAATGAAAATCTATAGAAGAGTCAACATCTTCTGAGACAAACCGATGTGGACTTGGAGTCTAAATGCTTCAATCACGTAAAAACATACTACTGATAAATGATGACTACTCATGCACAAGGTACTTCATGCTATAGTGACTATATGTTTAATCATTTATAAACATATATGTTGTGAAACATTGAGCAGTTGTCGGAATGTATGTGTGATGGTGTTCTGAAGCATGGACAGAATATAAATATAGAATGGAATGAGATAAAAAATATATACAGACTGTCTTCTCACGAATACACAGTCTGTAGGGAGCTCTCTCAAACACACACGCATACACACACACACTTTTCAATTTGTTGTGCTGTGTCTAAGCTAAAAAGTTCTAAATTGCTGCCGTGGTTTCGTGTGCGGCTGCTGATCCTGAATCAGTGTGACGCTGTCTGGATCTTTAAATATCACAGCAAAAAAACTGGGCCTAAATACTCTCGCTACTACGACACCACACACACACACACACACACACACACACACACACACACACACACACACACACACACACACACACACACACACACACACACACACACACACACACACACACACGCCCCCCTCCAGAGACCCTGGGTTGGGGAGATCTGCTTTTTAACATACTCTGCTGCCGTTCCGTGGTCCAGCCCCGTCCTGCACTTTTTAACCAGTCTTTTATAACGGTCTTGTCCTCTCAGAGCTTTTATAATGCTTTTAAAAGGGTTTTTATAAGGTCTTAATAGGGCTAT